GCAAAAGGACTTTGTGTTTCAACAAATGTCTCTGGATGAAAATGTGCTAATGGCTAGTGGCGTTCTCTGTTAGGTGTTTTCCGTTTACCTGTGAATGTTCTTCTGGTGTTCCTTCTTGCGGATGTTTTCTCGCACCTGTTCCCTCTCGATGTCCATGAATAGCCGACGGTACATGGAATACTGGTTGCCTATCTGCGGCATAATCACACACCAACAATGAAAATTGTACATGTAGCGTCAAATGATGACATCGAGCCATTTCGGGGCAGAGTTTGGTTTTTCCCTGTGTTTGTCAGTATGCCTATTAGAGATACCACAAAAGCTGTAGATGGATTTATTCAATAATTTTATGGAAAGACTAGTCACCAGGGACCATTAGTTTTTGTAAATCAATGATGGGAGACTTTGGATACACTTGTTGGCAGACAACAAACCAGTCCCGAGTGACCACTCCTCTATTTATTGGATCATTTTGAGCGTGTGCATATTGCCTTGAGTAGGACGCAAGCAATGGTGCACCTGTCATATGAAGATGCTATGTTTGCTGTCAGTAAGCGAGTCACAGTAGTCATAGCATATTCCTAGTGCTTGTAATTGGGATATTGGAAACCGATATCCCTCTTGACAGGTGGATGAGCCTTCTTAGAGGTACATGTACATTACAAGTATATACATGTACTTAGCAGAATGACCTCCGGTTTAGCACAGTTGGAATGCTGGAGGAGGTCAAAATGGACTTAGAGTTTCAACAAGAACTGTTTCTCAAACCGGCAGATACATGTAGTAAGGCCTAGGCTATACGTCGTGCTACTGTTGTGCCAAAGTCACACAATTCAATAACTTTGGCACAGCAATAGCACAGCATAATTAGCACAATTTAGCTCTGCAAATTGAATTCGGCACGGTAAGCCCTTTTAAGTTTGACGGGCGTACCATGCTATCGTCGTTCCAAATGGCAGTGGCATGACACTCCTCTACTGAAGTTTGACATTTAGCGCAATTGCTGTGCTATGCCATGCTATTGTCAACTCATTTTAATTAAGTTCAGCAGGGCATCTAGCCTAGGGCTAAGGTATCAGCAACTTCAGGATTAAGTTCAAAATGTAATACCCGTCTTTTGTTTTCTTCCACTTGAACACCGGGGCGCAGCTCTGGGACAGTCCTTGCTGGTATCATTTTGACATGCTCTCTCTCCTTCTGGCTCGGCTTTCTCTTAAACTCCACCTTTTCAGACCTCATTTGCATATGATCTGAATATTCATTACACAAGTCCTCCCGCTCTTCAGCTCTGACGCCATGTTTAGTCAACGCCTTGATGCCTTTCCCAGCTGGACCCTTTACCCCATGACCTATCACCCTGCCGAGCTCACTGGCAAAGGTCACCGTCTTGGGAGCGGGTACCCCAGCCAAACGGTGTAAGGTGTCAGGGTCATGTGATACAGAGGGTGGATGGTTTTCCATGTCACCATAGCTGGAGAGTTCATCGATTGTTTGCTGAGGGATCTTCATATCACTGTCCGTAGTTTGGCTTTCGATATCACAGACTCGCTCTTGACTCTCTGCCCTGTGTGGGTGAACTGCATCTTGCTCCTGAAAGAAAAATGTATACATTTTACTGATTAATTGAATGCAATCACAAAAATTGCAACTCTTTGCTCTATCAGTTACCCCGCAATCAACTTGATTGTCTTCAGAGACTCCAGAATTCTGCTGCCCGCGTTGTGACGCGAGCTCCGAGCTCACATTACTCCCATTCTGCTTTCTTTGCACTGGCTCCCTGTGGCTAAACGAATTAAGTGCACGCTGTTACTGCTGGTTTACCAGCTTCAATGGTACTGCTCCTCAATACAACATTGATTCGTTATCTCTGTATAATCCACCAAGGTGCCTAAGATTATCCGATGCCTTCCTGCTTGTCATCCCACATACTCATAACTCGTGGGGGATCGCTCTTTCGCTCATGCCGGCCCTTTTCTTTGGAATAAACTCCCTATTCACATTCAAAATTTATCACTCTTAAAATTTAAAGCAGCCTTGAAGACATTCTTGTTTCCTGGCTAAACACTTCAGACCTGGGTAATTGTTTTTTCATGTACTGTATCTATATTTGTTAGGACCTTTTCAAAAACTGTCATATTGTTTTTGATGCATTCATGTACATGTGTATTTTTGTTTTGTAAAAGTGTTTTGCGCCTCGAGCACCACTTGTGACGGATTTGGCACATTATAAATTCTCATTATTATGAGGTGGAGTCAAGTGAAAAGTGAAGTAAAGTAAAAAGTCCAGATTTCCCGAGTAATCATATTTCTCCCATTCCACTCAAAGCCACTCAGTATGAATACTATTTAAGAAATGACCTTAATCCCTTCGCTCTAAGAGACGGCAAAAAGAGCGGCGGCTTTGTGTGAGGATTAGTGCATACCACACATACAGTCTATTCACCATGCAGCTGCTGGTTCAATGGGGCCTGCTGCTGGACAAAGCCCTCCATTCAGGGCATACCACAGCCCAGCAGTCACAGTCAAAGGAATTACTGACGCCAAGGGGTTAAGTTCAGAAAAAAACAAATGCTGATGAATGTTGTGGTTTCCCTAAAAGGCTCTACGATGTTTAATCCTGAATCTTCCAAACTTTGACACAACCTGGTCAAAGATTCCTACTAGGTTCAAGAGCTACACTAACCTGTCTGTCCCGTCCGTCCCGTGAGTATTGGTTTGCCCAAGATCCTCCTGGAAGATGGCTCTGTGGATCAAACAGAAAGCAAAGTCCCTTGCATGGATGCAATGTAGGAACTGTCGACAGTACTTTGTAAATCTCTAAGCTGTTTAGAGACTGACTTGAAAGACTTGAAATTACACAAGCCTGCTCTACACACGTGACACAAATGTAGATTTTATGCCTATCACACTACATGTAAGTACAAAAAGGTGATGTGACCCACTCTCTGAAAATGAGTCTTAAGTTGCCAGAGCCACTTTTTCAGTTTTCATTTGTATTGGAAAGAGCAAATTGAGTTTTTGGTTTAAATGTATCACTCGGTTTGACATCCTGATGGAAGTGGACACTCCACGGTGTGAAAAATGCTATGGGTTCCTTTTGATTTACACTGCATAATTATTCTAAAGGACTTTTTACTCTAAAGTGGCTCTGGCGGCTTAGGACTCATTTTCACAGAGTGGGTCACAAATGTACATGTAATTTACATGTAAGTACTTCAATGATCTTGAACAATATTACTACATGTGTATTTCAGGGTGGTTTTCCTTTGTACTTGTTTAGATTTTTTTGACACCTTGAAAAAAATGACATTTCACTAAAAACAGTAGATTTTGCAAAGCTGACCACGTAAGAACAGCATCACTCAATCATAAAACATACGTGTACACCGTGGGCACAAAATATCACTCAATCAACTTCTTTCAGGAATCATTTGCCAGCCGCGTGCATGAACCCAATTGAAAAATTTCTCACCAGCTTGCCTCTCCCTTGTCGATGAAAATACACTTCAACTCAGGGCGTGTTGGATGGACCAATAAATGGATATGATAGAGACAAAGATCTGATACAAAACTTACGAAATGGAAAACTATATACCAGTCACACAGCCGAATCAATCAATTACACATGTACACACCTGTTGTTGGAACATCTGCTTGGCTGCCAGGCTTCTCCTGGCCTTCGTCACAATCCGATGAACTCGATGGGATCGCTCCGTCAGCTGCTGGCAGTTAACAGGCTCAGGCTCTGATTCACTGCCAGACGTCACGTTGTCAGAGGCCTGGCCTATGGCAAGGGCCTCTTTGTCGTGACGATAGAGGCAGCGATCTTTCTTCGGCGTGGAACGCTCAGCAGCATGGGAGCTTTGCTGGATGACATTGGTTTGAAGTTCAACCTAGACCACAAACAAAATCAGATTTGAGTTTTAAATGCTTTTCATGGTTCCTGCTTGTGAACAAATACTTGCAAATATGAATTTTAAAGATGCACTTCTGTAAACTCACTGCATGGAAGGACTCATGTAGCTGTTCTTGCTGTTTAGCCTGCTGTATCTCCCTGACTCGCTGCCTGACATCCCGCCGGAATCGTTCCAGTCTGGCTTGCTTCTCCGCTTGTGCCTGCAGGATCCTTCGCTCTTCCTGCTCAGCAGATAACTGAAAAAAATTTCAAATTTTACAAAGGGCCCCATGAACTTTCGGGATTTTGCTGTTCCCCATCTTTACATCTAGCAAAATGATGCACGTTGCTGGGATGGGAAATTTTGCAATTTAGGCCTAAATTTCCAATTTATCATTTCACGCTCACGTTTCACACGACGTGAAAACAATTTCCCACTTGTGCAAACGGCACAAATGCTTGTTGGGAGACTTTTCCACTCATTTTGAATTTTTTGATCAAGGACCGAGGTTCCTAAATCAGGCCTAGGGCCTAAAACAGAAATAGGCCTGCTGTCTACATAGACACATTAAATGTCTAGTGTGCTTGCTCTAGCCTTGTCAAATTTGATCCACAGATGCCAAGTTTAATACCAGTGGGCCTAGCCCCACAAATAGGGCTGTAGGGGCTCGCTTTTACAATCCGTCTCTCATCTGTGGTGGCGACAGATAAGAGACAGATTGTAAAAGAGAGCCAGTATTTGTGGGGCTACAGTGGGCCCTACTAATAGTAATGTCATGATCATCGTCAGAGTAGGCCTACACTAGTAGTGGGGCTAATGTAGGCCTAGGGCCAGTCCTAGGCCTGTTTCCTTAGTGCAATAGACAATGCCATGCAATAATCTAGACAATGCCATGGTGAATAGACACTGGTGCACTCGACAATGTACGGTAAACTATGTAGGCCTACCACTAATTTACAGGTTTATGTCCAATTTCATTTTTTGTTTATTTTCAGGCTTACAATTGCACCGCAATTCATCCGATGATTTGGAGGTTCTAACTCGACCCATGCTCCAACCGGCACAACCTTAGCTGGTCTCCTCCCCAAGGTTGGCTGACTTTTTCGGCAGGACACACCAGCCAACTTCCGACTATCGGTCATACCGGAAGATGTTGTCTGGATTTTTGGAGCTGTGGGCATAATAATCAATAATAACTGGTTTGTATGGCACAGAACTTCAAATACAAGTACGCCCACAATACATACATAACATATGTGTACAAACCCTTAAAAATGAGCGCCACCAGGCCACACGAACAGAACCGACTGACCTGCGATTCCTACTTTTCTGTATCGTTCGCGCGGTGGTTTTGAATGATCGATTTTTTCGGTCTCGATTCTGGGCACCGCCCTCTATTGACGGGAAATCAACTTTAACCGCGGGATTGGCGGCAGTTGTTCTCAGGCGCAAAAGAACTTAGAAGCTCTTTCTTTCTGCGGCCCACTTACATGTATTAGGCGAAACACCCTAAAAGGAGATTTCGGGGCAACGAGGGAGCAATGTGTGTTTTTTTCTCTTTGTCACGTAAACAGGGCCTTGTCCTGCCACAACTCCGTTCATTATGATGTTTACAATCTTGCTGACTGATGCCTTCAGAGACGGCAGTGACGTACGCGGTTTCCCATCAGGTACTCTGCTGATGGTGGTGTGTTCAGTCAAGACACAGCTTGGGGAGTTACTGAATGACGTCATATTCGAATTTCTCTTCGCCGACGAACATCAGCTCAGAACCAGAAATGCAGGCTAGTATGGACTGTTTTTTGTGGTGACGACGTCGATTTCAGCCTTTTCATCCACCATCAACCAGCACGGACAAAAAGCCAGTCACAGCAAAGGCTGGAGGCAATTGTTTGCGTATATTGACAGCACACTGTCCAGAAATGACTATTACCGATAATAAGGTGACCAGCCGGATTGCTAAGGCCAGGGCAGTGTTTGGCTGACTGCGTGCCACAATCTGGGAGCCCGTGGCATCCGCTTGTAGACTATTAAAGCTGAAAGTGCATTATACTGACTCTGCTGTGTATGCACGTGAGACCTGGACTACAGGCTAGCCGCAGCCAGAAAACCCCAGCACTTTCACACCATCTGTCTGCATAGCCCATGGCAGGGCCGTCCTTGAGAGAGCTGGACTAGACTGCAGCATCCAGCGTCTGCTCCAGAAGGTTCAGGCTCATTTAATTATATGGGCAGATACCTGGTACGCATTGCCTATTGAGTGAATCCCCAAAGGCTTCTCTATGGCGCCATCTCCCTGAAAGAAAGCGCTGACAGTCGGCGAGGAAGCACTATTAAAGACACAAGGAAGGAGTCTCTGAGAAGCTTCGACATCAACTTGGACACCCAGAAAAAGTCAGCAAAGGGCAAACCAGGATGGAGAGTCCAAGTCCATAAGTGCTCCGAAATTCGAGCAGGGCCGCTATGAGGCAGCCAATGAAAAGAGAGCGTGTAGGAAGGCACGGCTGACTGTGGACTTACACATGTCCACAGTCATCTGTTGTTAAAGGAAGAGGAATAGTCAAGGAAACCTTGTATAAAAAGCCAGCTGAAAATTGTGTTCCCAGGTCAAGAAAAACGATTATTTTGGCGTGGCATACGTAGTCTAGACCTCTGCCCAAAAGAAGTCCACACAATGTAGGGTATAATGGCGTTGTGTGGACTCGCACACGTCCACACAATGTTTTCCCCTCTCTCTGAAAAACAGTTTCAGGGGCATTTTGGGGTCAAGTTTATCTGTGGCAAAATGAAGAGGAGCAGTCCAGGAAATCGTCATCAAAAATTTTGCTCAACATTATCAAGCAAAGACGCCAGTCTGTTCGTGCAAACGAAAGTCTGAGTCGGCCTACTTTTCAGCTCTTCCGTAAGTAAGCCATAACGATTAGGGCATTTATGTTTGTAGTGAAGATGCCAGCCCCTAGGTGAAAGAATGAGTTGTATAGTTCATGGAACATGTCGATAATGTTGTCTCTGGGACGGGTTTTTGTATGGGGCGTATTTATACTCGGCCCCAGGGGAAAACGGTTTTTGTTTACATAATACTTGACACAAAACCTATAGCGTTTGACTTTTTCTAACAGGGTAACACGTCAGGCGCAGACCCCAGAAAGGGGGCGGACCTCCGGTCGCGCTGAAGTCCAAATAGTATATACAATAAATGATTTAAATAAAATAAAATAGATATAAAGTAAGTGCATCGGTAACGATGCAAACATTATCTATGTGTCCGCCTGTCTGGAAAATCGGATAAAAAAGCCTCTGCCAGGCCTGACCCCTTGGACATACTGGATACACTCTGGAGAGCATAACCCGCCTCAAGAGGAATAACCTTTTGGAGTGGACACAACGTTGTGTGTGGAATTTATAGTTTCAAGGAGGGGAATTCTATCAGGGATCCAGATGCACTCCACCCTCCTCCCGTATTAAAATGAAACTGAGCAAACGTGAGAACAGTCTGAGATGTGAAAACCAAACTGGTCCAAACACAATTATTAACCTAACAAACCAAACTAAACAAGAACACGTAATTGCACTCCCTAATCTTTCACAGGCGGTCAAACCTGATCACCCTTGTTACATACGTCCCGGATGAATTCACATACCGATGCGTCCAGTCCCGTTGAGCGTTGGACGTATGCCACTCACAGCATCACAACACTAAAAACTCCATTTTTAATGAAATTAACACTTTAATCGTAAGTTGGATTAAATCTAATGTAATCGAAATAATATTTGAAATAACAAAAAAGAAATAGAATGTTTGAACCAGGTTGAATGAGGCATGTGGTTTGCGCAAATTTATCCAAACTTTTCAAACAGATATAATTAATGAAAGAAATATGCTAAATAGGTTAACATTTATTGCGACATAACTCCTGCAACGTCGTTTTTTAAACAGTACCGTTAATAAGCCTGTCTGTCAAGCAAAAACACACAATTTACTGTCGTCCTCCTTACCATCATTTCGTGGGTTTTAAATAATGCAAATTTCTCCACCTTCTTTGACCTAATACCTTAAAAAATTCTTCGAAACTATGTCGATAGTTCGTTCAAGAGTCATCTTGACTTCGTGGATGGTCGATGCTAATGACTGCAGTAACTTGTAAGCAAAACACAAGGGAAAAGAAAAATCCAGAAAATAGCAAAGCTAAGCTGAATGAATACCCTATTTCGAAGCCAAACACTAACGATACATTTCAATTTTGCTCCTTAAAATGAAAAATATATCTGCATCTTGCAAACATTATACTCAACGTCCTGATCGACATCGCAAACCGTATACCTGTCACTTTGCATGGTAAACTAGATCCACCTAGCAATGGCAGGCTTGAAAGGTGTGAAAAGTAACAGGTGCACGCCTCAAACATCTTGCGTTATTGAACAGTTGATATCAGTTGATACTTTGCCAAATATACGAGTAGTTTTTACTAATCTTGTCAATAACAGTCTCAAACATCAGGAGCTATTTTCACATCGACACGTTCTTTGTAAAAATTCAGGTGTCTGAACTGTACAAACATGAGGCATTATTCGTCTGTTTCTTGTTTTCTTCTTTGTAGATCGGAACTCTGACAGCTTGCTCTGGAATTTGGCTCTGTTACAACGTATATTCCATCGCTTAAGGAATGGTTTGTCTTGTAAAATAAATCAACAAACACCAAAGCTAACGATTGAACACAACGAAACCAGTTTCCGCAATTTTGTAAGCTTATTAAAGCAGAGTAAGGCTATTAAATTGAAGCTTCTCTCAATAAAGCGATATTTGTTTTGCCTACGCACTAAACCCAGGTACCCGAATTACCCTCCAAAACTGTAACAGAAAGACTGAAAATTGGATATGGTTCGTTTGAACAAAACATGGAAAATACAAAAAGGCAACAATGAACAATAAACGTGTTTGAAACTTGCCATCGATCCAACTGTTTGATTGGCAGTTTAGTAAACGCTGAACACTCATTTTGTAGTTGGCCTATGAACCTCGCGGGGCGAGGTTTACTGATAAGTGAGCTCTCTACTGTATGCGAGAGCTGACTTATCAGGAAGCAAACTGATTGCAAAATGTCTAAAAAGTTAGAGGCCGGGCATTTTAATCAAAGTATTATCTTTCTCCATGGCAGGCAACGAAAGGTATTTGAAAGTTCTGACATTTCCAACGAGCTGTAATTATGCGCCGTTGAAGAGTTGTTTGCTCCCTGTTCCCTTCCCAGCTGGTCAATTCCCAGAATTTTTTAGAGGCAATAGGGGGCGCTAAAAAGAAGATTGCAGCGCAGGCCAACTGTATAGCATTTAGACTTGAATCAAGTCGGACTTGCGTTGCTCTTTCCTAGTCAGCCACCCCCTCAGCCGGTATGCGGTACGCACTACACGGTCGTCGGCGTCCGGCCCCGCTGCTTGTATAACCCTCATAAGGCGACCTCATTTGATAGCCTTCATTGTACAACGTGGCCGTTTTCCAATACTCAACTTCGTCTGCGTCTCAGGCTTCGTCCCCGAAACCAATCCCCGATTGTGGGCCTGAAGCGTTTAAATCAAATTGGATTACTGTAAGTTTTTGCTCTCTTGCATCTTATTTGATGTTTTGCCGCACTGTTAGACTAATTAGTGGGCTTACAGCTTCAAAGTCAGGAAGTAAAAAAACAGTTGAAGCCTGAGACGCAGCCGAAGTTGAGTATTGGAAAACGGTCCGTGTGTCATACGTGACCAGTCAGTGAGTCCGACTTGACGGATAAGCCAATCGGACCCCTGTCGGTGGTAATTAGTAGTTATTCATAGTTGCATATGAACGACATGATCTTGCATAACGTATACGGAATTTCCACCAATCAAAGTAGTCAGACTTGTAGACTCGTTCATTATAATGCAGGTATGGGCGACGTAAAAACAAGTCCGGCAATATGATTGGCTCCTCCCACTTTTGGCAGATGAGCCTATTCGCTGTGTACAAACGGTTGGCAAATTCGTCAATTTCTGAACTGAACTCATAGTGATAAGTGGATACAAGAGGGTGCAAAACAAGTAACGGCGCGTGATCTCGATGTGTACCCGGCCATCCAAAGCAGAAACGAATTAGACGTCACTTGAGATCCCGCCTTGAGTCAAGTCTTTGTGACATTTAAAAATTATACTTCGAGCCTCATTACGAGCGTGAGCTCCTGTCTCGGGTTAGGCCTACATGAATTTCACACTACTCACATGTTACTCCGTTCTAACATTAATACTTTTGAATGTGTGAAAACGTTCAGTCGTTAAAAATAACACCCAAAACGTACTAAAGAAACATTTGGCCCCCAAAAGAAGCTTCACTAAATAATAAAATGGCTGTTTTGGCACACTAATTAAGCACCTATTTTATTTTTTCTTGATAACGGGGCCTAGAAACGTGACTCCTGCCCCGGCCTCCATATTGCCTTTTGAAGAAACGGAATGGTACTGTTGTTTCTTTGTGGATGAAAAAAAACTTGCTAGTTTTATTTAAACATGTTCCCTGAGTCAAAACTTGAACCGCCATTTTCAAGGTTCTCTTTAAAAAAATCTAAATCAGCCACCTGTTTCATATCAGCTATTGCACACGACCACTTCAAAACTCGGAATTGATTAATCTTATCGCATACGGTCAAATAATGAAACTTTTTTAAACAAGTTTCTTCTTTACTGTTTAACAGACTTCACAGAAAATTATCTTAACTTGCGAGGTGAATTACGCAGTGTCTCTGATTGCCATGGCGATAAATAGTTTTGGAATTTAATAAATAGCAGGATCGTCGGGAAGACGAATATCAGACCACATCGCTGGCAAGTTTCATCATGGAAGACTCTAGTTTCGCTCGTTGCCTGCCATTCATGGCTGTGTTCATCGGTAAGTGTACATGTAGCATAAAACTTTCATCGACCTCGGCTTGATGATTTACTTGAAATCCTAAGGTGCTCTGGTTATTGGTTTAATTCCTAAATCCTAAAATTACCAATCCGAAAGTAGTAACATGTGGCAGTAAAAATTATCGTCTGAAGGACATTAGTACAAGACTGGTAAACATGAATGGCGATATGTCTGTCATGTTACATCTTACAATACACGTATTAATATATTGAGCTCTCTCGAAGTCTCTCAGTATTTAGACTGCCAGTTGTTTCTTGTTTGCCTATTTCGTGTAAACTATTGACATGGTTTGGATGTAAGTGAGGCCACATGTACACCGGCAAGGTTCCGCCACGTTGTCAGGTTCCTTCACAATGTTTTACCCACATACGTGTGACGTGACTCAAAAGAGTTTTAGGTGCGTGACCCCTTCTCATCCCTATTTCAAATTCATGAGTCGGACAATACTTGTAAAATGCTGAGCGAGTTTTTTTTTGCGCTGAATGTACGAATACCTTTAAAATTTGTCGTGCATTAAAATATCCTGTTTATTGTTTGGCATAGTGAAAGTGCCAAGTACGCACATCATAAAATATTCTTTTTTTATCGACGTATGTGAATCGTACTTCGTTCTTTGCTATGTTAAGCTGGTCTGTGAAATGGTCCACGATCTTTACACATGTCTTATTGCACAGGTTTTGGTTAGCCAATAGCAATGCTTTGGCACAAACCAAAGTGTTGGCTTGTATGATGAAAACACGGTAATCTTCTCACTAAGTATCACTGGTCATGTGTCTTTTGGTAATATATTTCAAATCATTGGTTATCTTGATCAACTTTGGACGAATTAATAAAGTGTAAAAAAGTATCGAATTGATAACCGCCATATTGAGCAAGCTCGCACGCCTGGCAGAAATCTACTCACAATGCTCTGCGCGTCGTTAGCTGTGACCCAGCGTGACGTATTTCCTTCACTAAACTCTATGCTAGGCCATTAGTCCTTCCCAGCAACACATTTTTAAAGTGCCCTCCCTGTGTCGGCCATGCTATAAATAGGCTAATGTTGGCAAACATCCAATGTTCTGACTTTGATGCTCTTGACATTGTCATTGTTTGTACAATCCTTTAAAATTATTCGTTTCTATTTTTTCACTGATAACTGCATCTTGCCTTCAGGGCGCGTCATTATTCAGTGCATTAATTCACAAGGACCTTGCATACAGTCAATGGGACTGCTTTCAAAACTGTCAAACTGTGGCACCAGCAATTTAAGGGGACCAAGTAAGGACAATCATAAAAACCATGCAGAAAATGTACTAATGCTTTGTTGACATCTTCATTTCTCCTTTCCTAGGTGTCTTCTTCATGTTCATCCTTGGTACGACGCAGGGAAACACATTGTCCGATGGTAAGGCTGTTTGGAGTTAGGTTCTCAGATATATGCCTAACCTAACAAAATAAATGAAAAATGTGTCTGGCGTTAGGTAACAAAATAAACTGTTCATGTGCGACACTTATTGTGCATAGCTGATCTGGTTGACTCTATGAATTCATATCTAGCTAACTTCTTCGCTGACCAGAAGCATTCTTTGCGGTGTATTGGACACGGTTTCCCAATCAAAATAGCCTGCCTTTATTTGTAGGGTAGTGGCGTCAGGGCACTCACTCACTCACTCACTCACTCACTCACTCAATCAATCACCCACCCACCCAGCCACCCCCTCCTCACTCACTCAGTCACTCACTCACCCACGCCCTCCTCACTCACTCACTCACTCACTCACTCACTCACTCACTCAAATTCTTGTTAAATAAACAACAAAGTTTTAGTCGCTATTCAGTTCAGAAAATCCTAGGAACAGCAGCCACATTTGCACGGTCACTCCGTGGTACTCGTAATAGGCATGCAATTTCGTGAAAAAGCAAGCATTTTTGACATCCGTGCATCGTTTGTCATCGAAGTGTAATTTATAAATTTGAAATGTTTGAGGTTCGAATAATTTATTCAAATTACTTCATGAAGAAAACGTGTTTCACTGGCAAAGAAATCTCTTTTAGTACAGTAATCACTTTAAATTTGGTGGGAGAACCTCTTATTGTATGAGCTTAAACGTTGAAACAAGATGGCAGCAGCTCGTGTTTGCTACACAAGAATATCCAACGTTGATTGTGGTCGTTTGATTGAAGCATTTGAGGGAAATAGTCAAGATTACTTTGAACTGGCAGTCAACCTTGCAATAATGAAAAGAAAGAAAAAATAGTTGGTTTGGTGTTATCCGAAATTTCCTACTTTAAAAGAAAGAATAAAAACACGATATTATCCCAAGGAGAGCATTTAACAGAAGAAAAGTATATATTTATAAGGTTAAATGAAAAGGTTGGGATGATAAAGGTCCAGGGCAAATATAGCCAGCGATCAAGAAGTTTGTGGAATTGTACGCCTATCATAATTATACAAAAAACTATTGTCTCCAATATTCAGGCTACGTATACTTTTAAAAAGTTACATTGCCAATATGAGTGCCCATTCACGAAAATGGAAGTGTAATTTGGGTAAGAGTCCGCCTCCCAGTCACCCAGAGCGAAATTGAGTGCATCGTGAAATTGAATGGTAATGTAACGAAAGTGAATTCTTGAAAGTGGACGATTCGACGTGTACAAACGAAACTGAATGCGCCAAGTTTTGAAATGAACCACGGGAATAACAGGCTTCGAGAAATTGCTCGAATGTGAATGCACGTTCACGAATTTGAATAGTCTTTAAACTAATTCAGACGGTAAAACCTATACTTTTCGTACACTTAACGTAACCCTATTTCAAGATTGGTATGACTATATGGAATTGCTTGAACATAAAACAGTGTTCATACCAAACAGGGGTGTGAGAAATTAGCAATTAATATGACTTCTCTGGAAACGCGCGTTGTTGACAAATCAAGATTGCGCGCAAGCATGTGTTCTGAATTCAAATAACAAGATGTGGATTGACTGGTTCCCTCCCTATCATATAACTAGTAATTCTTTGTCAGGCCAAATAAAGCTTGAACAAGAGTTACATTTCAGCAAGGAGGCTAATAGTACGCTATCCTTGTCCATTCTCTTTTGATCACAGTGTGATAATTTACTTTTTCAATGGATATCATCAATAAATTACTTCACGGCAATTTTTTTAATCAGTGGTTATTTTGTTAAATTTTATATGAGTAAACAATTCATGCTGAAGTTCTTTTCGGCAACGAAGAACAAAAGACAACATATTCTACCAACTTCTGATTGATTTGTTCATTGAGCGAGCTCCGTTTCCTCAGTAACATTAAACAGGAGGGATTCCTCCGGTTTCATCATCCGCTACTAGTATCGTCGTTTGAAGGATGTCTGTAAAACGTCTGGAGACTATGTAGGGGATGGGAAACAGGCTAAAGATGTGACAGAATAGGTTAACTGATCAGATCACTTTTCTTTAAGTCTGTGACACTCAATAACACGGGCAATGCACGTTCTTTTAAAACGAAATCTCTCCACATATCATTCTTACAAACATTGTTTACAACTGATCAAAATGTTTTGGTTGTTGTCATTCCACACAATAGCATGCGACAAAGACTGGCTTCGCTACAAAGACTACTGCTACTTTTTCTCTACGACCCACATGAATTTTATGGAAGGCAGAGATTTCTGCAAGTACCGAGGAGCCGACTTGGCCAGCGTTCATCACGACACCGAAAGAATATTTTTGGATAGTAAGTATAGAATGTGTTGGTTTTGGACAGCAGTCTGAAATGTGTGAGGCTCTCCCTTTTTGAAGAAGTGTGGTTTTGCCAACTCTAAAACACATGTGCAAAACACACCAGGGCGCGATTGCCAGTGAAATGCAAGTTGTATGTCTGGGCCACTTACGTTCTTGGAGTGTACAACGGTGCGGCTTGGTATTTGAAACTCTTGCCATATCCAGTTGGAAGATTGACAAATACGTCTCAACCCTCCAGAACAGCCGTCACGGCCAACATTTGCTGTGGTTTCAATTTATCGATCAGAATACCAAGCTTTGGTGCTGCATATTTGAGGCAATTCTGGAAGAGATTGTCATCTAGAGCTTACACCACTGCCGGAAAGGACGCAGTGTTGAATACGCGCGCCATTGTAATGATGAATAATTTATAGAGTACCGAAGTGTACCGTCACTGTGAACCAGAAAGTGCAGTGCAAACGAATGGAGAACGCGTGCGAATTGGTTCACGCGCTGGTTCTCGCCCTAATGCCTTTTACACACTAAATGTACGCGTGACGTGTTCACTTCGGTACTCTATTACATGCACCACAGAGGCGATCGTTTCGACTGGGGGAGACTTATCCATACGCGTATATCGTATCTGCTACCGAAACGGTAAGCTACAGTAAAACATAATCTACGTGCGTTGGTTTGGTGCTTAAACTAGTCTCCTCCAGCTCCTTGCTCTTGAGCAACTATCCATTTCGTCGCAGGCGCCTTGATCAAAGGCTAATGCAACCCCAGGATTAGGGATCCGTTTTTGAGAAACAAATTAAGGGCACTGACTACGTTGGACAAGAGAAAAGGTGAAAATTAATTCAAAACAATTTGTGATGACCAAAGTACGTTATTTCTAAGGACTTTACGTGCAAAAATTATTTACATGTAATCTATTTTGATTACATGTACTTGAAGAAGGCCTGAGTGTATTTCACCGATTAAGTCAAAATCTGCACATCTTGCTATGAGCAGACTTCAAGTGATGACCAACTGGACGTATACAATGGTCTTGTGACAGATCCCCTATAGTTTTGTTGTCTTGTATTTCTTGTTGGGTCAGTGAGCAGAACCATATTCAAGCAAACAGACTCCTCCACGATACAATAATCATTGCTCCAGATAAAATCTCTTGCTTGTCAGAGCATATTCACTCACATTCGTTAGGACTGGTGGTTGGGACCCTTAATTAAGTATCCCTTAGTTGCCTAATCATTCGCCATCTTTTAATTTATACTCAGCTATCGAAGGAGATATCCATGACTGTTGTGTAATATTTCCTTTGGAGTGTTACCACCAAAGGCTCAAATTTACCGAAACGTGTATGGGCCACTTGATCATACCGGAATACATACTCATACACACAATGTACCATAAGCAGGTAGTTCTGCGTACAAAGAGTAGGCCCTAATAAATCCCTTGTTCCTGCAAAACACCCTATAGAGGATTTTAAGTCACGTGATTTTTGACGGTTAGCGTTCAACTTACACAGATGTGAGTAGAAACGCGCGCACTTTCGAAGTTTTTTTAACATTCTGGCGTTATGAAATTGCCAATAGAAATACACAGATTCGAAAATTTATGCACCTCCACAGACATGGTAATGCCTTTGCCCGTCACGTTTCGTCACGTGCAATTCGACAACCAGAATTGGAAGCAGTGGCAAGATGCTCGTAGACAGTTGGTACGCGCTGGTTACATGCCTCTCCGACCAAATTGTTGTCATGATTTGACAAATGTGTGCGCCCGTCAAGCTGAAGAAAGTGCATAGGTGTGGTGCCGACACAGTTATGTCGTCTAATGTCATTAGCCTATAAAGGCAACAAGAAATACTCGGTTTTACACCATTCTTTTTAGTTTTCTATTTTGGTAACATCTGTAGAGCATACGAAATAACTTTGTTCGCTTGCATTACTGAGAAATTCTCTTCCTCCTGTTTTGCTGCAGAAAATCGACCGAGGGGTCAGAGGAGCTGGGTGGGATACAACGACCTCGCTTCTGAGGGTCACTTTGTGTGGACCGACGGAACAACGGTAAATTTTCTTTAATGTTAATTTCCTTTGGAGATTTAAAAATTAGTGAGAAAAATCGCAATATCTTCTCAACTCATCTCAGTTAATTCATTTCGGGAATGAACTGCCTCACGTGACAATGGGCCCGGACAATTTCACAGTTGTTGACAAGACCTGATGTCATTTTGCTCTCTTATATTCCCTCGGAACTTGATGTGGCTTGACTTGTGACTTGGATTTCATGACTGTGATTTGACTTTGGGTGACCAGTTCTTACGCTGTTGGGTTGTAATTACCAATACGTATAACAGGCATTAAGAAGCTAATGAAGATCAGAATTTTCGCCACAACGACTGCTGTCATCTACACCCGGAAAGATATGGGACGGAGGGGTACCCCCTTACCTGTCCAATCCCTATACACACTGTAGACTATTGTTACCTAGCACATCCCCATAGAAGTCTGTAAAGAATTTATGAGATTCCGATCAAACAATGGCCAACTCAAAGGCGGGGGGGGGGTTCTCTCCGTTCCATATCTTGCTTCAAATGTGCCACTCATTCGTTGTTCACAGCGTATGATTTTCTTTGTTTCGGCCAACATTACCGAGCAACTCAGTGTAACCCTCGTTTAGCAAGTTAGAAAAGTTTTACATAAGCCGCAGACTACGAATTCTACGAATAGTACTGTGAAACGCAATCGTAATCGACTAGCTAATAAGGCAATCGGGGAACAAAATGACAGGAAAATGGTCAGGACCGATGCCCAAGCCATAGCCTTTTTAGTCCGAGAGTCAAAAGACGTCAATATATGGTGGATTTGCAGCGATTTTGTTGGTTTGTTAGAATGTTGCTTTCATTTTCCCGATTAACCCCGTCCATCTTATTGAATACTCCTTGTGCAAATTGTCCAATTGGCGCGCGCATAGCAAGCTGCGAGTACACAGACTCTTGACCAATTAGAATCGATTAAACTGTCTTGTATCCAGGTGCCAGCGCGCGATTTATGCAGCGGGCATTAAAACTCTTTAGCGGGCATTATCATACACATATGGACTGGCAATGAGGTCACTAGTGCACGTCTGTGCCCCCGAGGGACTGTGAGTGACCAGAAGACGGTGGAGGCCTCGGGGAAAAGAACCCTCGATCTTCTGGTCACTCACAGTCTGGGGACACGGGTGTGCACTAGCGACCAATTTTGTCCAGTCCAAGTAACACTCTTCAAACTAGAAAAATATTCGTTCAGGATTTTAACTGTTTTAATCAAACTTTCAATAGCGTTTCAACAATTGCTAAAAAATTGAAGTTTCATTTTAGTGTCCCCTGAGACAGTCTAATTTTGGGTCGCTAAACTTAACAAGGAAAAGAAGTCTTCCAGGGTTCTGTTTAAGTTCAACTTTTCACTCACTACTAATTCGGAAAGTGATAAAAAATCATGCGTGCAGTCTAATTTTCAGTCACTAAGCAACTAAGAAAAGAAATCTTCCAGGGTTTTAACTGTTTCAATTCAAAACAACCTGCAGAGGGCGCAATAGCCATTCAACATTTTTCAAGACTGGCACCTATCGAGTACTAGTCCATGGAATTTATGTGCGCGCAATGTCCAGGCGCGTGTCGAGTCATGCTGACGCCAAAGTCACGTAATAGCCTATATTAGTGAACCACACGTGACCGTATTTCAGCCAACCAGGATAAAAAGCAGGAAGAGCTGTTATAAAAAATGTCAATACAAGTACACGGTCAAGTTGCACGTTGTTGAATAGGGAAACTGTCTGAGGTAAAAATGAACACAGTTTTGTACGAAGGGCGCAGTGCAACTGTTCATGGAGCCCAAAGCCAGTTGCTACCGTGCCATAGTTGTTACCTGCTACCTGCAAAGAGTCTCCATGCTGTAGCTGAGCTCTTTGCTGTATTGAAGAAATCTAGCAAACGTCCTGTCACTGAGCTATGGTATACTTGGAAAAACCTGGTTACCCAAGCGACACTTTAGACATTGCAGTTAAGGTATAAGGTATTTCGTTATGGTCACAACCATCTACTATCGTCAAACTGATTACACCAACAAGGAAATCCATACCGACACATACTGGGGGCAACTTGCCAAATTAGTTACAGTTCAAACCTATGTATCGAATTCCTTTTCACTGAGTCAGAATATACCTGAATTTACCTGCGTCTCAGATGGTAGGTTAGACCCAGGGTGGAAGTAGCGGAGTCCAAGTCTCGAATGGTTTTGTTCAGACACTGTAAAGCTGTAGATATTCCTCAAGAAGGCGAATACATGTAATTGCAGTGGACTGGAAGTGGTGAACTCCAACAATTTCACGACGAGGCTCCCTAAATTAAAAAATCCAACCATCGGCAACATTGGCTTTTATATATCACATGGACAGAACGTGATCCTAGTTAGTTCATACATAAGTAGGTGCATTCTACGGGTTGAGTCGGGCTCCATCTTGTCGTCAGAGTCAGGCTTGTTGGACACAACACCACCCCTACGTCAGGGTTGAAGGTGTATGAAATACTATCGAACAGGGCTTTACCTGGGCCGAGGCTCGCATTCTGTCCTCAGGAAAAAGAAGGCCGAGCCCGGCTTGTGGCCTCACAAGTACCCCATACCTACAAGACAACGCATAAGTATAGCATTGTGGTTTGGGCATTACTGCAGGGGTGGATCTTGATTTCGAGTCGGGGGGGGGGAGTGGGAACGAGTAAAAAATGATGATCCAAGTATTTTCAGCCCATAAAGATTCCTCATTGCCCCCTCTAGAGGTGATAACAGGCTTTCTTGACAGGTGAAAAGAATGATACAAAAATTACTTGCTGGAAGCAACCGCCCATTATAATTCTGTCAATTTTTAACTGGCTTATTAAAGCATTTTGGTAAGCTATTTTGTCAATGAAGCACGCGACTCGCCAGTCACAATAGGCGACTTGAGACTGTCTTCGTTGCGAGTCCTGTGATAGGGTCCTGCAATACTTGACTTGGGTAAAGCAGGAAATACCCGGCTTGATTCCTTTTTTTCTGTATACAGAGTTATTATAACAACTGGGCTCCCGGATTGCCGTATGACTTTGGTGGCGAGGACTGCACCTACAGTGACCCAGATTTCTATGGATCCAAAGGGAACTGGAATGACGTCTCGTGCTTTCAGAGATACTATCCCATATGCAAAAAGCGAATAACAGGTAGGTAAGTATGAATGTCGTAGCTTTTGGTGTATGAAGCACTGTCACTAAAGGGAGCCAGGGTGCCCGAGCGAAAGAGGGTCGAAGCATTGTTAAGTAGCATCCCCGTCTAACACTTTGGTTTGCACCACTACTGCAAACAGCGTATTACCCATTGAACAGCCTTTTAAACATAGTCTTGCTACCAACTTTTGAATATGTTTGAATACTAGGCATGTTTAGCGTATTCATAGGTATTAATTAGCAGTTCAATTTTCACGTTTAAAAGGACCATGTAATAGATATATTTTTAATTACCAGCAATTAGACAAATGCCTAGTGCCAGACGTGGCCTCGTGCTAATGTGCAAGTCACATTAGGTTGACCAATACCTATCAAAAAGACAGTGAACCTGTCATGTAACACCACTCCTCTGCTACGTTTCCCACGTGATTTAAAAAAAAAACTTTGTCTTGGAGATATGTAACTAATAGGATTTCCATTGCGATCTGGCAAACATGCCGAGGCACTGATATCAATCCATAACATCTCTTCGTAGGAATAGAACGGGTTAAAGGAAATCGCTCGTGTTGGCTGAGATATTGGGACTGTAGATTTGTTAACCCCAATTCTCAATATTTAATACGATACACCATGTGGCACCTTGTAAACAAAATTTTACTGAACTTTTTTTTTTTAAATTGAGGAGATGACGTCCAACGGCCAATTTCTTGTAGTGCTATTGTTTATCGGTGTGCCACCCTCCGAGGCGTTTTATTCTGTTTCTTTTGATTTTTCAAAGCGTCAAGCTGTAATGACAAACCTTGTCAAAATGGGGGAGTTTGTGAAAGCCTCTCAAATGGTGGCTACCAGTGTAAATGTAAAACTGGCTACTCAGGAAAGGATTGCGAGCAAGGTATGTCGAAACCCCTTTCCTATCGTCGTTTTTAACGCAAGCGTTTTAGCTATGATAATCTTCTTATACTTCCTTTCATGAACATTTTATCTAAGGCTGTCAAAACGATAAGATTTTTTAAATTTAGTACACGAATTTCAGAAAAAGTGAATAATTTCATATGTCAACTGTGACTACAGAGGACGGGCAAAATACATTTTCGTCTTCTTTGTAACTTAGAAGACACGATTACGTATACTGCATGACTATCGGGTGCGTTAAAACTGAAATGGAGGCTGTAATGCGAGATACAACCTCAACGACCCCTCCCCTCAAAATACCAAAAGTGGATACGCTTTATTTTTATCGGAAAATTTCAAACGACACTGGCTGAAAAATAGTTGGGAATCTATACGATTACCAATCTACCAGAGAAATACAATTCAGCTACATTAGGATTTTTTTCAAAAGTGACTTCAAAGTGAAGTTGCAATATCTTGAATCTACCAAAAAACGTCAGTGCTTAATTTCACATTTTTGAGTGCCGTCGAAAAACCAACTTGCCTTCGTTGCAACACTGCATCACTAAAAATTCACGGAAACCATGCTCTCTGTGTCAAATTACTTAAACAATTCTAATCGTTTGAAGTAATACCTTTCCCATTTTGCCAACACCAAACATAAACACGTATGTTTGTAGACAGGTATTATTCCCGCTAAGGTGTAATTTCCTGAATGCTTTACTTTACAGACGACTTCTGCAAGACTGAATGGCACCACTTTGGAGATTTCTGCTATCTTTTCAGGGATGAATACAAATTTTTCGGCGATCGACATACTTGGGACGGAGCTCAAAGCAAGTGTGAGTCCTACGGAGGAAACCTTGTCAGCATCCACAGCAAGGAGGAAAGCGACTTCATCTTCGGTAATTTACGAATGATGTACTGCATATCCCTAAATCGTGGAAGCAAATACTGTGCAATTGTCAACTGGCGGTATTTATAACTTAAATGGCTTATGCTTAAAGGCTCAGTAATTTAAGACCGTTTCTCATCAGCCACCCCAAGAACTTGTCCATTCCATGCCTGATTTGTTTTTCCCCACAACGTAAAGTAAAGTACTCCTTAACGGTGTTAATGTGAAGTTTCAATTACTCTGACCTGTTTCCAGTCATTTGAAGTTGAAGGCCACATGCGCGCCAGTCCGCGTGCATAGAGCTCGGCTTCGGGATAGTATGACTTACCTCAGCATAATGGGCACCTCGCAAGAACGGGACGTGCGATTTTCACAAAATTGGTGTCCAAAAGCCTGCAAAGCGTTACTGAGAAACTTATGAATTCTTTGCTTGTGAAATAAAAGAAACACACTGCGGTGATACCCGTTAAAACAAATGTGGTGGTGGATTCCGTCCGCGGCTGTTTTATGGTTAACAAAGACATTTGCGATTGATGATGCTCTTAATTTCATCTTTTGGCGATCCCAAGATATGGCCAACTAAAGAACTCATGAAGTATCAAGCATTTAGTCCTATATATGCTTTCGGGTCACACCGTGTTTCATTATTGCTTGCCCTGCCTCTGGAGCTATCGGTTGATGTTTTGGGACCACGACCACTTAGACCTGCTTTGAAAATGGTCGCCGGCTGGTTTAGAGCACAGACGTCACGTAAAAAGTTTGGAATCGCAATGCCTTTCATCAGCCACGAATGATTCAAATTATGTGTGGGTGTTCGTGCTTAGGGGTGTACACATGCACACAATGCATCATGGGATACACTAATAATGTGTGTACACTTACGCTGCACCGTACATTACTGTCGGTCATCTAGCACAAAAATGGCGCTGAGAACGTCTTGGACCAAGACCAGCGGTACAAGAGCATCATTGCGTATCCAGATAAGAACCCATGAGCGAGAGCTTCCCTTGGCCTTTCTGTTTTACACGGATTTTTAATCTCGATCAATGATCTCTGAGCGGGTTCGCTCTGTCTAATAGGCATCTTCTGGTGTCAGCGAACCAATGTTGGATGGATCATTGATCGCAACCGGATCCTCTCGAAACATGCAGGCCCCCAGGTATTGGATGGTTTACAGGTTTTGCCACTGGGAAACAATAGGCACCTGCCGAAGGGTTTTGCTTAGGCTTTGCTTTTCCCCCTAAATACCTACCACAAGTATCAAGATATTTGAACGTCTGTAATTACGACTACAGTTTGTTATTTAAGGCTACAATATTTCTATTATTATTTCTGCTGACTGTAGTGAAGTGCTTTCTTCTAAACATCTGTCTGTTGTGCAGAGCACATGGGCTACAGTGAGGGTCGCTTTTGGATTGGATTCACGGACAAAGCAAAAGATGGCACATTCAAATGGAGCGACGGGACAAAGGTAAGAAAATTGTGGAACCCTTCACCGGTGTGTATAATTGTTGAAAAAGAGGTGGAACACAATGAATATTTGAGGATTAATTCATGAAGTACCGATAAACACGCAAATATTTGCGGTTGAAATGGAGGAACACAAACAAATTGATTATGGAAGAGGAAAAGTTTCCCAATCTGTAAGCTGTCTTCTAGCTTTGATCAATGAGAGTAACAGAGATCAGTCAGAAAAGCAAGAACAAATCCTTGGTATATTGGTTATTTGTCCTCACATTACGATTGCTATTCACGTTCCATTCAACACAAGTCACTTTAGACCAGGCAGGTATTTTGAAAAAATCTCTAACCAAGATGATTTTAAAGAAGACCGCCTCAGGAAGTGAACGGTAAAATCTGGCCACTTAAAAAAAATCATTTCAAAGGAGGGCTCAACTGTTAAGGAAATCTTAACAATCTTAAGAATGCTAATGAGAATATCTTTGTGTAGATTTTTGGCGCCACCATCCCCAGGCCAGAGTAGAACAAGATAGTTACCCTAGGGTCTTTGCCAATCCACATTTCTCCATTATAAGGAAAAATCACCAGTTTTCTTTATAAGTCGGTGTAACCAGAAAGACACTGAAAAGCTGAAACGTTTCCATCATGTAAACAATAATAATTTAATAAAGTTCCAGAATAGACTCTGAAAGTACAAGGTCATGTGATGAATCCCCGGGGATTCTCCATGGTAATGGCTTATCACCCTTTTTATTAAAGACTGGTAATTAACTAAAGCCACCCAAGAAGCACTGAGATCGGAATTTGTCTTCCTGCCATCTCGCAATGATCGGTTACGAATGAAATTGCATAGTAATTTCACCTTCGGCATTATTATTATACGTCTCTTTGTTTGTGCACGTTGGTTTTCACATATCTTAGAATGCAAATGTAATGCATCGCAAAGACCTGCAGTCGTTGGGTTTTAAAGTTTAGTTGGGCTTGTCTCAGCGCAATTCCTGACCTTAAGGTCAGATTAGACTTTAAAACTTTTATAAATGCCGACATTCCTTGCATTTATTTTAATTGAAAACTGCAAACAGTATTTCGATCACCTGTTTTGATTTTAGCTTTGCCTTAACCCTAGAAGAACGAGTTACTTTGGCCCCTCTCAGAGCCGGGCGCGGGCAGATTCTGGCCCCTCTCCATTTTTTTAAAACTTAGTATACATGTAAAGATACTCTTTCTCAGTTTAAATGTGACGTTTAACTCATTCAGAGGTACGGTTTTGTTGTTATGAACACGTGAACTCTAAGGCTTCATGCCTACCAGCACCTGTGCTTTAAGCACCGCAATGGGAAATATGTACAGTTTCAGCTGACCTGTTTCGGAAAAGGGGCGCTGCGCCCCAATGGTATGTTAGATTTCGCCAAATTGGCATTAAGATGACTGCCGAGCGTTACTTTGAAAACTTCTAAAGGCTATACTCTTGAAAAAAAAAAAAACGATATCAGAAGAATGTGGAGGGTGGGGAGCGACCGTCGCTCTGTTAGGACTAAGACTAGCTATACATTATTTTGTAAATTTTCATTTACGTAAAAGTACACCGAGTTGCATTAGTCGTGGAATATTTCAGCTTTTCGGAAAGAAAAGGTCAGTTTTTTTCTGTCAGTTGTTGCTCCTTAAGGTCATCAAATCAGCGGGGGGCTTCCAAAGGCTTCTTTCTGAGGGGATTTCGTCTTTGTGGGAGAGGTATATGTTAATGAATGAACATGATTACGAATTTGCGTGATACAGTGAACAGTTTTGCGTGATATTCAAGAGTTCCAGGAATGCACCCAGCTGGGATCAACTTTCAAGATCAGTATACCGTATTGAATGTACATGTATGATTACTGGACAAATTTGGCAGACGTGTGAGGACTCCAATGTGCCCATATTTTTGGTCCGTCTGGCATAATTACCCAGCAACACATAGGGCGTCCCTCAAAATCTAACGTACGTTTTTATATACCGTTGTCTGTAAGAGTGATGATATCATGAGCTCGGGCTGCAGTATCAAGGTTAGTGACTTTTTGTGTCTTCCAGACAGACTATTTGAACTGGAGGCCAGGAACACCCAAGGATTCTGAGAACGAAGACTGTGCGCACGTCGATCCCATGTACTTTGGCTCACAATGGTCTGATGTCACTTGCTCCAAATATTATGGCTATGTGTGCAAGGATACTATAAAGAGTAAGAACCCATCTCATTTCCTGACGGACAAACGGTGCCCAATGAGGTTGAAAGAGATTAACCAACACCAACACTCCGGACATGTTGTTTAAAACACTTTACAACTCTGCTTGACTTGGCACAATTATCTTTTTTTAAGAAAGCGACGTGTAAAAACTGTTTAAACGCTGTTTAATTGCAAACATTAACAGGCTCTCGGTTTACATGCAGTGCATTATCTGCACGGTTAAATCCTAAGTAAAGCGATATTCTACGCTATTTTCTCATACAACAAGTTTGTAAAGGTTTCTTTGCAATATATATCACCGTTGGTGTAATATCCCCAACATGAAAAATGTGCTGTTTTATATAAACACATAGAAGTTAATGCAGCTAATTAAATAGTCATGTACCTTCAAACCTGTTGTGTTAATAGCCAAGTGTTCCAACCAAAAGCAAGTTTGGTTTCGAAAGTTTGAACAACAGTTGATCGTGTACCCTATTTTTTTTTGATGCTTAGTTCCATTTATTTCTAACAGTGTGTGAAAAACACCCGTGTCTGAATGGGGCTTCTTGTGTTGATATGGTTCAAGACTACCGGTGTAAATGTCTCCCCGGCTTCGAGGGAAAGAACTGCGAGACCAGTAAGTGGAAAGTTTGTATTACGCGTATACACCCTTTGTACAAAATTGCATCATTTTTCTTAATTTTTTTTTAATTGGAATACCTGCAATTTGCATCCATTCGTACTTGTAGATCAGTTTTTGCAGTGAATAATCACCATCCACCAATTTTTGTAGTCAAGCCGCTGCGTCCTGGACACCATTACTCATTGCGACCCACACTCCTAAAATACACCCAAGAAAGATGCCCAGCAAATAAATACTATCTTGCTTTCAGTTAGGAAACGCGCTAAAGAACAAAGCACTACGTGCTGAATTCGATGTTAAGTATTGTTTAAACACTTTTCCAAACTGAAGCCAAAAGAGTTTTTAGAAGTAGTTCCATTAGGAAAACCAGTTCTTGCCGCGTAAACGAGGTGCAGACGTAACTGAATATAACAGTGCGTTGGTGCTCATTAACTACTCAATGGAGTGGTGCAATAAATGATAACGTGTCCTGTGACACAGCCTTGTGTTAGACCCACCATTTTCAGATAAGAGTTTGGAGTTACGAGCGTTTTAAGACGAACACCACCAACGACAATCCGCCCCGACCTGAAGTGCGCCCCCAAGCGGCGAAAGACAGGTGGGCTCTTGCACGCGTTCTGAGTGTACGCGAAGACCATATATTCTGGAATAAATTGGTTATGCGTACTCGGCGTGCTCTGCGTCAAATGCGCATATACTTGAGCGCCTCATTGCACGTCCATGCAGTGAGTATTCCCCCCAAAAACACGCCCTCTTTTGTTCTGCTCGGAGCGCATGGATGAAGCTTGAACAAAACAACGAAAAATGGATGACAAACAAAAAATGCTGAGAACTGTTTACACCGTCCACAAGCACTTTAAGTTGTTTGTTTCATGTAATTTAATTTCAGACACTGACGAGTGTGCACAGACAACATGCCCACCAGGTCTTATCGGGGTGGACGGTATCAACTCGTGCTGCTGTGTCAGCGACTCGCCCATTGACTGGCCATGAAGATTGAACTGGAAATGTGTCCGGACGATCCCAACCCTGTAACAATTTCATCAAATAATAGTTTCTTGAAAAAACAAAAACATCAAGAACGGAAACAGGTTTTGTACACCTCTCTATTCAAACAAACCATTCGCCCGTGAAAAAAAAAAGAATAAAGAAAAGAATGAAGTCAAATAAAACAATTCCTTTTAAAAATAAAAACAATTAAAACCACCCTGTAAAACCATGAGATATTTGTACCAGTTTTTATGGTATCCTTAAGATGGAAACCGATATACCACATGAAGATGGATTAACCTAAAACTTTTTGTGGGTCTTTAATCAACCAATGTTGGATTATATTTTGTTCTAAACAAAACTGCCGGACAATACTTTCTCTTTAATCCGGCTTTACTGGGGTTATGGTCATATTCTGGATCTGATTTTAAAGTTTATGCTCGTTTCCCAGTTCAAGAGAAAAATAATGCTTATCCAATCTTCCAATTTTATGCTGCCCACAATGATCAGATGGAGTCTACCATCGACTGACATGAACTTTTTGTTTTTCTTTATTAAGGGTAGGCTACCTCATAAATCTATAGACAATCTAAATTTCCACTTTCAAAACAAAAAATAAGATTAGTGTTGATAATTGAAGAAATAAAACTAGGAGGAAACAAATTCAAGCTTTTGATCCAAAACACATAAATATTAAACATTTTGAACAGTAAATTTTTCTCATCAAACGTAAGATTGTATTAAGTATTATTCGTGACAAATAAAGAATGTTTCATTCAAGCAAAATGGTAATGTGACCATTTTTCCTCTTCTTGCTTCGAGCATGCGCCTTACACTCCCATGTAGGCGATCAAGACCTAGCTACAAGACTGTCCCTATCCATTCAAGTAGTTTAAAGCGAGAGCAGCCAATTGAAATGTATAGAGGTATATTTATCAACGTCATTTCTTCTCAATTTCGGCACAATGTTTCACTTGTTTATCGGAAAACTCTCTGCAATAATGTTAGCTTTAACTGTACGGGATTCTTGGAGTATACAACAAAGACTACAAATTCATTTCCAAGCGCTCGAGGGCAAAAGAAATTTAGCTTGACCGTAATGTCTTCTAGAGCTTAAAGATCAATTACATTGGTAATTTACAATTTCAATTTTTATGAATTTAGTTACATTAAAAACAATCTAGTGAGTAAAAACTGAGAAAAGACTGCTACAGACAACAAAAGCCCGAGTTGAAGTCCTCCGTCGTATCAGACAAACTGAAAATAAAATGAACAGAAGCCTGTTTTGATTACGTCACACTCTGCTCTGCAATTATACGACTGTTTCATTATTTCGGGGCGTGCGCCTGTGTGCACGAGTGCCATGCTTGCTCGCACTTTACTGTGCATTGAAAGAGGTCCGCCGATGATAGCGACATAAAATTGATTTTCTATCGACAATTGCTGATCAACATTGGATCATATAATAAAGTGAACCGTCCCAATTTGAATCGGAGTAAGGTCTTGATGAATTTCAGGCATATGGTCGTGGTCACGTGCAGAGAATGACATTTAACGTACTGTACCCGTTTCTTCGCTGCTCTGAGCTATAAAAACCCTATTACGGCCGCAAGGCCAAGAAAGGGGATAGAGAGCTGTATAATGACGTCATCAAATCTCTGGATTTGTTTACCGTAATCGCTTACGCAACTTGTTTACTTTGAGCATTCTCGCGGTGGAACAGAACTCCCCGAATGACAATTTGCTTATAGGGCCTAAATGCAAAGAGAAACTGTCTCGTTAGTCACAACATGGGTTAACAATGACCAGTTTCCTGTTAAATAACCTTTTTAAGTCTAAGCAGTGTGGTTGATCTTTAAAAACTGTGCAATTTGGGGAACCATGCACTATTCTTAGGCGAACTGAGTTTTGGGCAAATGGGGTTTTCCAAATTTCAGCTTCGACTGCGTTACTTCGTTACATTTAACTCTCTAACTTTGAAGTCATATCCTGAATAAAAGTCGTGTTTTGAACTGTTGACAATATCGTCCCATTGGGGAAGTGCTGTAATCACATTTAAACAACATGCCTGTAAGTCAGTAACTTCGGGGGGGGATAGGGCTCCAGTGAATACCCAACGCCACCCGGAACCTCCCTCCCCGCATTTGAAATCTGTGAATAATTTCAGTTGTAATGCAGCTTTGGCTTATTTTCCTGTGGTGCCCCCCCCTTGAAAAAATGTGCGCACCCCGGGTTCCCCTCGGACATCTATCCCTGGTTATACCAAAGCTGCAAGTGCTGTTTTATGACGAAGAAGCCGTAATTGTGCAATAAAGGTGGTCATTTTTGCGTGTGCCAATCAACATTGCCTATATTTGTGCATGGTACCTTAAATCACAAAGTTGTTTATGTTACGTGCTAGGAAGGGAACCATTTTATTTTTAAAGACCTCGTTCACTTGGGGTAACAGCAGAATATTTTGTTTGAAATTCTTCATTTTGTTCATCACAAAACCAACTTAGAGCTTTGGATTATGGCTAAAGGTACTAGGTTTCTTGCTATATCACATTAGAATGTTTATATATTTCAATTTACCGCTTACACATTTTTGTCTTCGTAGTCATTTTAGGGCTACTTATGAATTTATCAAACATAAACTTGTGTAGAGATGTAACACAGTCCACCGCATGCTTGTTTTTGTTGGGGGTGGGGTTGTCAACTTCCCAACCCTGCTCTTAATTTAACCACTATTTCTTTGTACTTTCAACAATAGAAAACCTGAATTCTGATGTAGGCAAGATCAAAATCATGAGGTTACATGTACATCTAAAAAATGCCAAAAACAAAAGAGAGGTGCCATCCTCATCTACCCAAATGGGGTTTAAAATTCAGGCAAAATTGTGAATAGACCCCCTAAAACACACACACAAATTTACTGACCATCTCCGTGCACGTTTTTATCAGGAAATTATTATGATTCTTGTACCCCGTGGATTTATTTGTTTACTTCAAACAATTCACTGCCGTTTTCCTGTTAGCTGTACTTTTCTTGTTCGTGTATATTTTCCTAAATTTATATTTTCATGCTTAATGTTGATGTAAATTAATTTAAATTTAATTATGATTTTGATGCAAGTACTGTCATTTTTGCCTTAGACCACGACAGTAAAAGGCAATAAAATAAGCGAAATATCTCTAAAGCTCATTAGTTGTGTTTAAAACAAGTTTTAAAAGACCATGAGTGTTACCCCACTTTTCCTCATCATTTGGGTACAGTTTTTTCCATTCAGACTCATATAAAAATGTATTCCATTCAAGCAGGGGACTTGTCTTGTGGCTCAGCTGTGAATAACACCCTCGTTTTAGCCGAATCTGTACAGCTCCGTTTAATAATTTGCTAGGTCATGATTTATTTCGCGAGTTGCAGTGTTTTTGGTTTATTCAAATCTGTGACAAACTAATCTTATCCCTTCCCGATACAACTAGACATTGAGTCACCATAACCTTTTCGTGTTTCGTTTTTGAATACCTGACCTTTTCCAATGTAATTTATTTTCGGCATTAAAAACAACCCAGGCAAAATCACATCGGTCTTAAGTTGGACTATGCACCACGACCATGTGAGTAACGCTCTTCTGTCTGTGCTATCTGTACTCTGTACGTTTATTACATGATGCATGTGTCACGTGGTCGTGTCGCAACCTGGGCCAAAGCACTATGCACGCCCCCAACGTTCGTACTTGGTAAGTAATAACTTGGTAAGTTATTTTAGAAACAATTTTGTTTTGCGAGTTACAATTTGGTTTGTGAGATTACTTATTGATTTTACTTCTTTGAAAGCAATAATTGTGGTTTGTACTGCCTTTTTGGTCATAGATTTCCTTCTTTTTTTTACATGTATTAGGATTTTTCTTTCATTTTTTAAATTTATATATTTATTTTCCTTATTTATATTTTCATTTTTTCTCTTACATTTAGTTTTATTTTGATTAATTTTTTATTTTTTCCACATTTATCTATCTATTCTTTATTTGTATTTTCCTGTTTTTTTCGTTATTTATTAGTCGTTGTTGTATTCTATTTATTAACGCTTTAAATATAAATTTGTTTTTATTTTTCATGTGGTCTTTTTTTCTCTGATGTCCTTCCATAAATCCCAGCCTAGCCTAACTTAATCTAACCAAACTAAATAAAACATATAATAGCCTTTTCTCATTACTAACGACTGGCCGTAAGTCCACAAGGCCTGTTGCAGGCTTCCATCATTATAATTTCATACGAATAAAATTAATACTAGTGTGCCTACCCAAGTTTGACATATCACTTATAGATCATAAAAACAAACGAGAAAATGTCATAAGATAAGAAGAATTAACTGCAAACTCCACGAAACCCCATAAAATCGAATTAATCTTTTTCTGTTATTTTTAAAACGAAAAATATTTAATAATAGCACGATCAAACAAGGTTAGAAAGGCCTACACTTTGCAAAAAACGAAAGAAAATTGAGATAATACACTACACACGTTGATAATTATCTTGGCAGTTAGCCCGATATCGTCATTGCTTAACAATAATATCATTAATGATTGTAAATTTTCAGCGAAAAACGGCTTAATTGCCTCCGCATTATTCTGTTTTGAAAATAATTTGGTGTCGATTCATGCGTTTTTCCTAAGTTCTTTGACTTGACCTTAATTTGTGGCACATTCCTCTCGTGTTCCACACTGATTGCGTTCGATTAGATTACACGGATAGATTCGGGTGTGACCTCCTTCTCACTGTCTCGCTTGCTTGACACAGCACACACGACCAGTCCCGGGTCAGGCTACGTTTTATAACGGGTATTGCTCTTACACCAACGTATCTATATTGTAACAAGGATACTTAGTGTTTGTCCAAAAGCTTGGGGGAAAAATAAATAAACTCACAAACTTACTCGGGTAGGTTTCGAACCTACGACCTCCTGCTCACTATTGCAGACGTCTTAACTAAAATTTTGAAAAGGTCATATACATTTGTACCCAACGTACTGTCTGCGATGGCAAACCGTGTATCTGTCCCGTTGCATGGCAATTTGAACCCTTCTGTGTTCGCATTGGCAGGTTTGAGATAATTATGTGTGAAAAGTAACAGGTGCCCACCTCAAAATCTTGAGTCATCGAACTTATGCGATAACACAATCGCAAACTCCATATCAGTTAATAATTTACGAACATTAGTTTCCTCAGTCTTGTCAATTATAATCCTTCAATTACAGGAGTCATAGCACAGCCTAATTTTTTTACAAATTGTGCAAAGAATCCGTTTCTCTACTGCATGGACACAGCGCGTTTCTTTCTTGCGTAAGGCGCTTATGAAGCCCCAGCGGGCCCACAAGAGGGCGCGATTTCCATCACAAGGAAGGCACCTTTGGTGGGAACTGCACTTTGCCTGTTAGTCTTCAGCATGTTCACGAAGTGGCCAATTCGCTCACAACAGTGACTGAAAATACAGTTTTGAGAAAATCACATGTGAAGTTTGGCATTTTTTAAATTTGAAGTTTTGCTCATTTTTCTGCAGGAAATCTCTAAAGTTCTCACATTAGGCTACAAAACGGTGGAATGTTAAACGATAGGTTTAGACATATATTTTGAACTTTTATTATTTAATTTAAGAACTGCAGTCCATGGAAGTTATTCACTCGTTCGTGAGAAGGCAAAATCCAGAGGTGAACTCGCCACCCTTCCACGGTGGATTCGCCACTTAGTGAAAACGCGCCCCCGCTCATTATCGTTTTCACTAAGCGGAGAATAA